CAATTATGGGTCACAGTTCTGGAAGCACGATGTAGTATTTACGTAGCGTGGATCCAAGTAGTTCAATCCAAAGGGGGTGTCTATTTGTAGTTTAAAGTATACGCCGAGAGAGGGCTGGCCACTAACAACCTTGCACCACTGACAACCGACATCATAAGTCAATGTTTTCAGGAGAAACAGAGAAATAGCAATGCTCAAATAGCGCGGTTGTCAAAGCTTTAGCCAAGTGGTGACTGAATTCCAGTTCGGGAAAGGGGGCGTATCCGTTGACTAAATCCACTTGTTCTAGTAAGGCAGCTACACGAGGGTTTGTCTCATCAAAACAGTACAACAACGTTGGCGGTTTCTGTCCCTGCTGCATTGAACTTTTCCTCTGCAGCCCATGAAACGGAAAAGCCTTGACGGCAGCAAAAGTTTCCGTCCTACTACACGCGTGCGCTGATGCAAATACAGTTTCATAAAATCAAATGACTAAATTCCACAAATACCAACGCATTTTGCTATTCCCTGAATATGATTTAAGTTTACCGGAAGAGTAACTGCCGCGGGAACACGTGATCGCGATACATTGATTCTTGACGAAAGTAGCCTCCCGGTTAGTGCAAATGCACCGGTAAGGAAGCATGTCATAAACGTATCATTGCATGGATGCCAGTTGAAATAGTTGTGCGGTGCAAGAATATTTGAAGGAAACCATCGTCCTTGTGATCAAGAAGAATTAACGTGATAATTTCACTCATGTTCCGCTTGTTTCACCGAACCCACTTCAAACTTGCATGTAGATGTTCCACTCTGGATCTCCTCATCATCATCATTATACACGGTAACTAGAGGTGGAGAACACCTCAGCTACTGTGCCGCAATACGTAGAAAAAGGAGAAAAAGATGCAACTGGTGCAAGCTGGCTGAGCTACGGGTAACGGATGGGCATCGTTCCGGTAAGCTACCAGCCGGTTGCTGTGCACCAAAAAAGTTACTATGCAAAATTATATGAGGCTAAATAATAAGATCGTGGTTGGAGGGGGAGGCAAAGAGGGATGGGGTGGGACAAAGAAACTCACAGCACGAACGCCACTGAGGTCGGCTCCTAGCCATATCATCAAGTGTGTCCAACCAACCAGGGAGCCGAGACGCTCCAATCGAGGAGAGCTCAGAAGTGAGGGCCTTCATTCCTCTCGACCAAGTTATCGCTTGGCCACCCCTCCTCTTCTTCCATCCACACCCCTGGCGCGCAAACAACACACGTCGCGGGAGTCGGTGGGCTGACATGCGTAATACGTGGCCGACCCATCGGAGCCTGATGCGTGAAATAACGGCGCTGAGCGGTTCATTTCCTTTTCCTGCGCCATAAACAAGGCGTCGAACATGCTCGTTGCTCACGCGGTGTTCCCACCAGATGTGAGCTAAATTACGAAGGCACCAGTGGTCGAACGTAACTAGCCTCTTCAGGTCCGCCACTTTAAGCGGCCAGGTTTCACAACCGTACAGTAGGGTAGAAAGTACCGCTGCATTGTACACTCTACCTTTCAGGGCAAGAGGGATGTTGCGCCGGCGCCATAAGTGGCGAAGGTTAGCAAAAGCTCCCCGAGCTTTTGCTATACGATTCGTGGTCTCATCTTCAATCCCAAGGGCGCTGATACAACTTCCCAGGTAGTTGCATTTTTGAACGACTTCTAGCTGATCCCCACCAAGGGTCAGCGTAGGAGGCGGTCCAGACCAATCTTAGAGGAACGCTTTGCACTTCGAGGGTGCGAAGCAAAGCCCGAAGTTACGGACAGCCAGTACTAATCTGTCCAGTGCCGCTTGGCACGTTTTTGAGCTGTCACATATTAGGGCAATATCATCAGCATACTCTAATTCAAGAAGTTGTTCTCCCGGGAGTAGCTCCACACCTTCTAAGTCGTGTCCTGTGAACGCGATTTCCATGACTTTTTCAACAGCGAAGTTGAAGAGGAAAGGTGACAGCGGGCATTCTTGTCTCACGCCGCTGGAGATATTAAAGGGCGACGACAACTTGCCGTAACCCCTCACTCTGTCCGAGCTACGCGCGTATAATGCTCGGATGATATTCACATATTTCTCAGGTACACCCCTCCTGAGTAGACAGTCCCAAAGTGCAAGCCTATCCACCGAATCGAATACACCTTTGATACCGAGGAACACGACAATGGTGGGCCGCCGATATATGTGACGGTGCTCCAACAACTGATGCAAGGTGAAGATGTGGTCAATGCAGCCACGACCTCGACGAAATCCAGCTTGCTCTTCACGAATCTGACTTTCACGGGTGCCAGTCAGTCTGTGAATGATAACAGAGGCAAGCAATTTGGAGGCGATGGAGATCAGACTGATTCCTCTATGGCTGCCGCATTCCGATCGTGAGCCTCCTTTGAAAATTGGGACTATGATGGAGCGGCTCCAGTCGGTTGGGTCAGTTTCCTGCTCCCACAGTTTAACTTGTAATTCGCGTAAATTATTCATAAGAGCAGGTCCCCCGAATTTGAAGTGGGCTGGAGGAAGATCATCAGGTCCCACGGCTTTACTGAACTTCAACAGTCCGATCTCACGTTCGACTTCAGAGCGAGCGGGTGGATCCATAGGGACAGCCCAAGGAGCGGGGCGATCAGTGGCCGGCGAGAAATCTAACCATTCCGACCGACTAAATTGCCTTTCAAACTAGTCATCCCAACGCTCTAAGCGTTTTGATAAGTTGTGGATAGGGTGTCCACTTTCGTCACGTATAGTTTCACTAACACCAGGTCTCCTACTGCCCGTTTCCCTTATCAGACGGAATAACTTACGATGGTTACCAAGGGCAGCGGTCATTTCCATCTCTGATGTACGATGAGACCACCAGGATTCGCGGTCTCTCTTCAGGCTAGCACGGAGTTTTGCCCGGAGCTCTTTGCGAGTTTCATTGGGTTCGCTTCTGGCCGGAATATGCCGGCGAGCATCGATAAGTTCCAGAGACTGTGAAGAGACCTATTGTCCATGTTGGCGATTAGACATACCACATGAGGATTTTCCTGCTGCTAATTTGGTCTGGTGAATATGAGACCAGTGAGCTTCAGTTGCATCCAGTGAGCGTTTAACCAACTCGCATGACAGCGTGCTTTGATAGGCATTCAAAACAGCTGGCTTCGCCAGTTGGCCGGTGTCAATGCGCTCACAACATCGTCGTGGGCGTCCGCCAAAGCGCATCCGCAGGTCAGCATACACATGTGCATGGCCGGTGTCTACACACGTGCTCCAAATCGAGCGACAGTTCTGGACACAGCCTCTCCATCCTTAACTTATCGCAATGTGATCGATTTGCGTCCGTAGATTGTTCGATGCTGGTGGGCGCCAAGTCACCCTCCGGCGAGTGCTGTGTCAGAAATTAGTGCTCGCAAGAAATAAGCGATCATCCTCACACAAATGAAGTAACCGCTCAACGCTATCGTTACGTGAGCCTATACCACGTTGGCCGCCCAGATGCAGCTCATCTGTGGACAACTTTCCAACTTGAGCGTTCAGCTCCCCGGCCAGCACTACAGTGTCCGAGCTTGTTCTGTGGCTAAGGAGCTCGTTCACTTGACGATAGAAGTCGTCTTTTACCGAGTCATCGCTACAGTTTGTCGGTGCATAGGCAGCGATAACGAATAGACACCTGTTAGTCCCACGTGACGTCGAAGCTTTGAACGAGCCAGCCAATCGGACCGCACACATCCGGCTACTGATTGGAATCCAATCAACCAGAGCAGCTTCAGCCCGGGGACTCAGGGCAATACCAACACCGGCTTGGCCGGTGCTCGAAGCTGCATCGTCACCGGATAGGCGCAATGAGAAAGTGCTGCTAGTGTCACCTGAAGAGGATCGCAGAGTGAGTACAGAACTCGAGTCTTGCAGGCGGGTCTCCGATAAGCAGCAGATATCGATCGAGAGGGTCTCTAATGTTGGGGCAAGTGCTGCCTGTTGACCGATCTGAAGCAATGTGCGAACATTGAGTTATGCCAATCTGAAGGAGGATCGAGGGCTCCAAATGGAAGCGGATGAACTGGGATAGGCCGCTTGCTTGGACATGGGCCTGTTGACAGTGCAGGAATGAGGCTCCGCGTTCGCATGTGGGTTGAAACTAAAAGACAAGCGACTATTGAAACAAGGTGGGGAGGGCCGAGAATTGGGGGTTGAAAACAGGGGAGATAAAAGTGAAGCTGGAACGGGACGATAACGGTGAAAGCGCAAGAAGGGGGATAAGAAGACGGGAAGGCTTGAGCAGTAGCATCCCAACCCCTATCCACCCTGCTCGATGCAGCAGATAGGGCACAGTTGATTATCCTCTGCGACGGCCAGAGTATCATAAATTTGTTTGAAGTGCGATTCATTGTATTGCGTGGCCAGGATACTTTCAGGTTGCCCAGGCCTAGACAGGAGAACGATTAGTGTTCTCAACCAAAGCCTTTGGTTCAAAAACCTGTCCGCAAGGCAGCGGGTTTGGCATTGGGCTACAAGGAGTCCGTTTTAAGGAATAAGGTGCCACCCTCATTCCATCCCCCAACCTGGAGGACCAGGAGACTGAGTTTGTCTGGCCTCTAACCATTGACCAATATGGTATGAGTGGCTCTGAAGGTGCAAAAGCACCACCCAGTATAGCTCAATGGATCACTGAGGCACACAAACCATCGCACCACGGTAAGGTCCAGCCTCATTGCGATGGGTCTGGATCTAAGAAAAAACAAACCAGTGTGTCAGTCTCAGCAACAAACAGTTTACCGAAGGTACACACTCATCATCTAGCACTGTAAATATCGGTTTTGTGATGACAGTTTAGGCGTTCATTCTGCCTCTTCTTCCGGCATAGTCTGATTTGTGCTAGTCACCCACCGGTCTCTTCCTTGTTTTTGCATGATCTTAGTCCTAGAGTAAAGTCTTCTGTACATCAACGGAAGTCGAAAAGTCTGCTGAGTAGGCAGTGTTCTGTATATCTTGCTAGACATGTTCCCCAATTGTATTCTTTTCAGGAGGCAGGGCACTACGCTAATCTTATGAACTGCGACCCTCCACAAGTAGATCGCGAACGATTGCTCGCAGACGTGCGGCTGCGTAATCCGGTTGGAACGGATTCACAAAACGTAAGTCAATGTTACAAATTGATGTCGCTTCTAGCAGCAAATTGAGGCAAGATGATACTTGGATGCTCTATTTCGTTGATTCTTCTCATTTATAATGGAAGCTGTTAAGTGATGCAAGTATAAGCGCAACAAAACATTGCAGGGTCTAATGCAGCTGTCTCGCATAAACTAGGGAAACTACAAAGTAACCCACTGAATTTAGTTGAGTACATGATTGCGTCCCCGACAGTAGTTGTATTCGAAAGTAATTTGAGGTAGTCAGTGGTTCGTAACCAAGTGTGTACACTCCTTGGACTCTACCTTTCGGAGCTGCTCACATCGGTGTATTTTACAGAAACCCAAGTCATTTACCGTTATGTCACACATGTGCTAATTCAGGGTGACCTAGCTCATGCGTTAGAGGTGCGAGGATGGTCCGAACGACCTCAGTTGGTTACCAGAATAAGGGAACACCAACGAAGTTAGAACAATTTTCAAAGTGTATACGACGCTACCTCAAGCAAACATGTGAGTAACGAAGCTTATAAAAGCACGAAGTGGCATGAAGCTTTAAGTTGCCAACACGCTTGGTATGCATCTCATGTTGGTGTTGCTCTTCAAATCAAACTAACCTTGACTTCAAGCCAAATTTGTTAACATTTTGTTTCTAGTCAGTCCACTCCTCAATTTAAGACAGGACGAAGTTATGGCCCAAAGCAAGTAACTATTTTACAATCAGTTCCTGCAAGATTTGGATTTCTCTTGCGAAAGGTTCGGAAAACCTGCCTTTACAAAGAAATGCTCTTGTACCTCAATACACAATAAAATAATAGAAAATACGTGCAACAGGCACGACATCTGAGCTACCTATAACGGATAAGTATTGTTCCGGAGAGGTAGCAGTCATATGTTGTGCCACAAAAAGAAGAAAAATATTACGCCTAAGGAATGAGTTCGTGTTTGAAAAGGAGGGACAAAGAAATTCACAATAAAACACCACTGACGCCGGCTCCTCGCTGTATCAACAAATATATCCAGCCAAAAGTTTTCATCGTCATTCGGACTCTAACCAGGGAGCAGAGAGGCTCCAACCCAGGCCAGCTTCAAAGTAAGGGCCTTCATTCCTCTTGAACAAGTCATCGCTTGGCCATTTCTCCTCTTTTTCCATCCACACCCACGGCGCCCAAACAGCCTACTTCACGGCAGTCGGTACGCTGGCATGCATAACAGGTGGTTCATCCTGGTGCGTGATATAACGTTGCTGAGGGGTTAACCTCCTCTTCCTGTGTCATACATAAAGGGTATAACACGCTCATTGCTCACACGGTGTTCTCACCAGACATGAGACAAAATGCGGAGGCTCATAATCCACTGCGTTGCCCGTTATTGCCGTGCGGAGGACAAGATAGCCCACTTCACAGCGCTTGCTATAATAAAAGTCTTGTGCTTATTCACCCATTGTCGGCAGTTCTATTATCTAGTAATTTTATCAAGTATTTTCAAGCCGAATATCGACACCCTTTAGCTGTGTAGCCGGATCTGATTTTTAACCTTTTCCATGCGCTCACGCAACCTTGGTCTACCGGATAAGCAATTTAAGGTTCTCAAGAAGACAAAATGCCTGAGGCGCATCTGAGCACTTCACAGGGTTAAAGGTCTGCTTTTGCGCACATAATTTTGTTGCTTTTCACATGATGCAAATATATGCTAAACTGTGAACTCCTGTTACTTATGGGCGCCACGTCGCGATTTAATTACCTGCTCGACAGGACAACACGATACCAAATCTGCTCACTCTGGCGCTTCAACAAAGTCTGCGTTTCCTACTGCATAAATTTGAGAATAGAATATATTTCATTCCATACTCTATACTGACAAACATAGAAAGGCTGCTACTCCCCTATGTAAACTGATAGTCTAATGACCTACAATGTTCTAAGTCGCTCGGTTGTTGGATAAAACGGTACGCTTCGTTCAAATACTTTGTGCCACGCATTCACTGACAGTGAAGCATGAGCAGGTTAGAGTAGCTACTGCTTTCTAAGGGATACGCGGTCAATTCTACTAGGAGACCGATGTCATGAAAAATGCATTGGTGACCCTATGTTTCTGGCAATAATGGTATGGCGTTTCACATCTGGTAAAATCGATGGGATTCGTACTGAATTGATACGTCGAGCAAATACAAAAAGAAACTGCCTAGTTACCTTTATCCAGCTGGCTAGTGAGACTGTTGTAGATCTACAAATTACATTAGTGTTAAACATCGTACTCAGTCAGCTTGCTACTTACCGGGGTTCATAGAAGCCGGAGTCGACAGACAGAGTAGTAGACATAACGGACTCGCTAAAGGACCGACCTAGATTGCAAGCAATCACGCAGGCGTCTCCATCATTCAGTAAACAGCTCATTCTACGAAACCATGAGATACAAACATTATCTTGGATGTAATTAAATGTGAGCTAACGCGTTGGCACGATAGTCTGCAACGTGGCACAGTTGCCCTTGCCTCTGGTACTTAACATTAAAACGCATCCATTCATTTCTCAAAACGAAACCTTTGAGTATAAAGCTGACATTGTTCCCTCGATTTGCAAATTCAAGTTGATCTCCTTCTGTCCCTTAGTAAGCAAGTTAACCAGGGTTTTGGTTAACGCTCTTATTCTACGTCGGTAAAGCGTCTCCATTGATGATTAAGAATGCAATGAATAAACATTAGATTAAAAGCGGCGATTCGTCAGTTCAACTGAAACGTTAAATGTGCCTTTAGAACGCGTTCGTTAATCTCTTGATCGTTTTCGAGGTAGCCAGTATCGCAGCTTCAGCTATACGAGGGCTTTTGATCGGGCACCGATTCATTCATCAGGTCACCTACTGTCCGTAATATTAGGGTTCAACCATACACATGGTTCGTGCATGTTTGCAAAAAGCGCTCTTCTCAAAGTATATTGATGAAGATCAACGAGGTCTTTGGGTAAACGGCAAACTGTGAGGAAGAGTTTAATGCTCAGCCTCTATCACTATTACAAGTTTGGGACACTTATGCTTATGTTCTAAATTCCCTTCCCATTCGGCAGCAAAACGGCGATTCCGAAAACGAAAGCGTTGAGGACCGACTGCGCAATGTTAAGGTAACTGATTGAGTCTGTATTTTACCCGTAACATGTACTGAATACGACTTTTATTGTGTTCCTTGGTAGTTTTCATCGCATTAACGTGTGCCAGTAAAGCAAGTGCTCACAATTCAGCTTAACGAACTTAATGGAATTCAGAAGTGCTGCCACCGCACTGGCCACAGTGCATAGTTCAAGTTAATGCGTTTCATCCCCAACTGAGGTTCCAGTATATGCGCAGAAAACAGCAACTCGTATCCGAAAGCTTGTGTTCACATGGATTGATGTTTGAAAATTGGGTGCGCCTCAGTTATTCAACACTGACGGTTTCTCTGTTCTACACTTAAAGTAAACGACTAATCACTCGTTGTGTGGAACTGTAAACACATGTAAACGAGCATGCCAGCTATTAAAGCTTCCTGTGGATAGCGTACATTGTTGGCACACAGCTCATTCTAAGCTAACGCCAACCGAATGGGCATACAGACTCAGCTAAATTCCAAGGAAATTGTAGTTTGACGACAACGCAGTAATCAGTGGCAGTCTTGGAAATACGTTCGCAACGGAAAATGGATGACTATAAATGTCTGTCGGTTAATTTTATGCGATTTGCAGTATTCGGAACTCTAAAAAAAGGACGAACCCAACAAAAGCTATCTATTGGTATGGTGGTATACTGTCCTATTCAGTTAGTTGGGATACATTTCCTTGACAGAAACCTTACCTTTGCACAGGAAGGTGGACGAAAAAACTGCTTAGTTGACGCGTTTGACAGAAAAGTGTCTAACAAAACTCCTGATGTGAACATAACAAAATGTATTTAGCTATAAAACGAAGAGGCTTATCGCTGTGTGAAGCCCTAAAACACTTCGGGTAAATACAGAGCCGATTGATCTTTCTTTCATCGGGCTCTCAAGATAGTGGATTAACCGTGGTCCTGCTATCAAGCCGTAACTTTTAGGGTGAAAAGCATATGCTACAGTTGCCGCTGTCAATCCCACTAAAACGTTTAATGAGTACACTAGGGGTGTGAGCGGGCCTTCCAGAGATCGAATGTTTCCAACCATAACTAATGTCATTCGAGCAGTTGATAAGTTCAAACACACAGTACAGTCATCAAGTATATCGAAGGAATTGGTGCAACTGTTTCACAGATTCCAAAACCGAAATGACAATCTTTTCAACCTGTATAAGTACTTGATTTTGTTCAAGAGAAACAGAATAAAGGAAGCAAATGGATCATCCGTAGTAATACCACTGTTAAATTGCTCTTGGTTACAGGGCTTCCCCTCACAAATCGGAGAATGGCATTCTTAATTTTGCGGACTAAGGTGACTTCGAAACTTGTATAGGACATATTGGAAGCACTATGGTCTAACCGCACTTGGCAATGGAAATGTTATAGTTCATTTGAAAGATATGTGAATGCGCAAGTACCTGAACCACCAGTCCTAGGTACCGGCACTTCAGTTCTTATACACAGTGCCGTTCGTTCTTCAAAATTGTTCTTCTTAAGCTGTACATCGTGTGGTTCAATGTGCATCTGCTTGTTTTTCATAATAGCTTATCTCCATGGTTTATTTGTTTCATGGTTTTCTTTTCGTTGTTTTGGTCATGTGGGGCGAAGCTACGTAACTAACAACTAAATCAACTCTATGAATGTGAAGTCGTTCCATCACGTGCGCTGATTTCTGGCACTTGTTAGCTCAGGTTATCTGCAGCTTTAGTTCCGCGAGCCGAATCCAGCATTTTTCACTTACGCACAGTCATCCTGAACAAACTTTTCTGGTATGTGCTGGTGCTCGCTTGTTCGCTCAGTCCTCACTTGACCTCATCAAAGGCTCGGAGTTCATCTAGTGCTGTCTATCATCTGGCAACCCAGTAGTCACCTTCTAGTGGACCGTCCTCTGTACTTACGCATGCAAATAAGGTCTCATGGCGAAACAACTAGTTTCTAGCGTCCTACATGGGACCTGTGTGGTTGAGTTATAGGCGGACAGTGACACATGAGGATTCTCGATCTACGCATCAGTAATGAGTGCAGTTGAACTTTGCAACACCAACCCAGAGATTTGCACTGTGGTGCATAGCAACTCGCTTGCTAAATCCGTGGCGTCGTCGCAAATAAAACCTCTACGCTACCGCTTCCTGTGTGTGTCACGGTCAGTGGTTAAAGAAAAAGACCACGTATGCAAGACTATGCGTTCAGCATAAGCGAGGGTAAATCACTGGAAATTGAAAGATAGTCCAGTCACAGCGCAAATACAAACACTGTTTTTGCCTCATTTGATCAGCCTCTGCTGTATATCCATAAAGTCGAGCTTGAAGTTAATGTGTTTCTTAAGTGTAACTGCTTGAAAAGATTGTCTTTTTCTATGTACCGCTCGATTTCCGTAGTTCCGCCGCAGTTTATGTCTTGCGCCAACACTGGATTTCCCGTCTCGAGATAAACCTCAACTACCGTCGCCTGACAACAGTCATGCTATCGCTTCTTTGCCAAAGAACGGCGTCTCCTTTTAGTCAACTTCGGACACGACTGTATCAGCTGGTTATATTCCTGATGTCAGTGATCATCAGATCCTTCTAGGTTAAATCAATTCAAAGCACATATTAAGCTCCGATTGACTGAAAGGTCAACCTTTGAACCTCCTTGGCTGACTACTGAAAGGTATATTGGCCTGTAAATGCAACAATTTCAGAATAACTCAAAGATTAATATATATTTGTAAGGTGTAATTGGTAGGTTATATTAGACCATCACTGACGGTTTATGTCTCCAAAGCAACAAAGTGATTTGGTAAAAAGTGTTAGCCTCTCAACGACTTTGCTACATATCACCTGCTGCTGGCACTGCCACTCCTGAACCTCACACCAGATAAGCTGAAAACAACTTGTAATTGACCAGGAACCAGCTAAGATGGCTTCAAGCTCTGCTAACCTGGATTGGTCGTGAAGCCGCTGAGCTAATACTGACTAGCACAAATCGGAGCTTTTTTCATCGGCATTTGCAGCATGCGCGTGAGTACAATGAGTTCTCTGGTTTCCTTTTCGAAATTGTCTTGGTCTACGGGCTGCCTCATTGCTGCAACGCGGATGCGCACAAGATTGTGAAATGTGAACCGGTTTTTATAGTTACCCACAGTATGCCTCATAATAATCACCACGCTTTTAATCCGCTCCAGGTTTGAAGTTTGATATAACAGTCCAACAGAAATGTGCTTAATCAGGCAAAACCGCCACCTCCGTGAAGGCATCAATAACTTTTCTTGTCAAAGTGAATGTGACGTAATGCTAAGTAGTCAACTTTAATTCATGTCTTTAATAAACAAATTTCAGAACCATGCCTTGGAGGAACATCAAGACACATTAAAAGCTATGCTGGAGGCAGCAGTTGCCCCTAGCAAACTTTAAACTCTACAACATATCACAGAAACTGCAGCACATTTGATGTACTTCTGTGCTACAACGTCATCCCAATATGCTAATGAATCACTTACGAAAATCAAGCTGGAGTTATTTAAGCCCAGGTTACCACGGATACACCCAGACGAGTGGTCTTTAAGACCTTGCCACGGCTGCAGTAGGTCATTGAGCCCCGTGAAGGCTCATACATGTTAAGCTATCCGTTCACGCCGTAGTAGATAGCGAACGTTCTCTCAAGCATGCAAGTATAATTGTAAAGACGAAATTAGGTATGACAAATGCTTCACCATCACATCATGAGAATACATGTTAGGAAAAACTATCTTTCAATATCGATAATCCCAATACCATACGAACCTATGGAACCAAAGGAGCGCGACGGCCTATAACAGTTGGACAAAGAATACAAGGTTTTAGCTTGGGCTCGTGCTATGTGGAGCCTGTGAAATTTTTAGCCTAGTGCAAGAATCAACGACTGCAGAGGCATTGGTTACTCGTCTTCGCTACACGTCAAAATAGCATTTTGTGTTTCCTACACAAAATTATCGCACCAGGTTTTTTGTGCAATAGTTCAACATGTTATCCATGGTACCCAACCCAACTCCCTTTTCTGAAGTTAGTCAGTCGTTCTGCTGTCCCGCACAACACCGGGATTTAGTGGGGATAATTGATGTGACTACTGGTAGTAACCTGTGTTTACCCAGCTTCAGGAATTCTTGTTTCCATAGACAGTTTAGTTTTCTGCATAGTGTTACGGAACAGATAGAATACATCATGGGTAAAACGATTCCTTTCTCAACAACGCAGTCTACTGTCCAATACCTATCAACGCCTCCTCACAAAACGTCAGTCTGATAAATAATCCCCGTCTCTCGATGTTTTGCATCATTCGCCCAGAACCTTATTCAAGGAAACATTGACGCACTTGACTATCTCCGTGGCATTTCCAGCCTGGAAAAGTGTTTCTCGGTAAGTTATATTTACCATAGTGCCACATACTATTTAATCATACTTGTAATGTATACCAGCTCAGAAACGACCAACTTTTACTGTTGCAACTCTCAAAGTTCATGTATTTTTCTACTGTGCGAGCACTAGATTCAGTTTTATTTCTCGGAAAATTATGGCGTACGGTTTATATGAATCACGTAGCGTTACAGGACAGTGGCGAGCAAACAATAACTTTTTACTAATGTGGATGAAAACTGGCCTAATATGGCTTCAGGTTCTCCCACTTTTCATAAAGATCATCACCCCGATATTTTAGTATAGGGCCTACCGAAAAATTTGGTACCGTTACCCCAACTCATCGGTGTCGTCAATTGACTCCCGAATGTCGTCTGCCGGCCCTAACAAAAACTGGTGAATCGAAACTACGAGTACATTTCCAAATGCATCCATGTCACTGGTACATTCTCAACGTGCAGAAAAGTGTAAGGTAATCAAACCACATGCGAGTTTGCCTAACTTTCGTTTATCTCCGCTTCATCCATCGAAGAAAGCACTACGTATACTTTAGCATGACAGCTAAAGGAACGTGTGGAAGATGAACGTGTGCACCAATCGTCAATGGTCATGGTATGAACAGGCAAGCTTCAAACGCCAAAAAATGACACTTCAAGTTCACTTGGGTTCCTATTGATGCTGACTATCCACAGTCCCACAAATCAGCGATATTTAGGCGCAATGTTTGGATAATTACACCTGGCATCGTCTGAGTTAAGAGTAAGATGTGTGTTAGCTAAGCATCCCTCCTCAGAGTAAATGAAACTGAACAGTTAAACTCGGAGGCAAATGGCGAGTCCACATTTCGGCGCTCTCGCAATGCTCACGGGTCAATGCATGAGCGACACAGGAGGACCTTTTTGGCACTGATCATCATTTTGCATGGTCGGTGACATCTATAGCTGGAATCATGACAAAAAAATCAATTCAGTTGGCGGTTTATTAGAAACCAATTGATTCATAAGCCATTTACAACAAAGCTTTGTATGGGTATATCACCTATCTATTCTACTGTTGCTGTTACGTATGTGGTGGAATGGTTTCTCTTGATGTTTGAAAGCCAATGGGAATTGTGTGTGCCGAGCCTCCATCAGACACACTTGGCCCCAGCGAAAAGTGTTCCAATATGTGTGTTGGTGCGCAGCGGATAATGCTGGATGTGTGTATTTCAATTACCAGGATACTGGTATGTTCGCTTGTGTGAGCGTTAGCAACCGCGCAGCCATACGTGGGTGTGTGTTTACCGGTGTCTAGAAGGCGCGATTGCTCGTCGTGTGAAAACATTGACATCTGGTGAGCCAGGACAGCGTGAGTAAATGTTCCGATGACTTTGTCGAATCCGGCATTTTGAGTACGGTTGTTTCGGGAGTTGGAACGAGTTCGAGACATCATTCTGGTTACTAGGCGGACTTCTGAGAAACCACTTGCCCTGCGATTCATAAAGTTGCTGCACTTCACAAGAACCACTCAAATGGCATGATACTATTGACTCAACAAGGGAATGCAGATGGTCAGCATGGTAGCCAACGGAGCAGATTGAGAGAAAAACAACTGGCTCGCTTTCCCAGCCTCCGAATTGTACGACACGATGGAGTACTACTACCTTTCCCGGCCAAGTTGTCCTCTTGGGCAACAGAAATAATCTGAGGGGACATTCAACATGAGTCTACTCAATTAAGTTGTTCCGTGCCTAGGAGCTGAAGCGTCCCACCTGCACCCCTATGACTTAGTGCGTCTGAGGTCCAATTGGCTGAAGACGACGGGCTATACACGCACACCCACATACCTGCACAAGTGACTGGCGTACGCACGGAACAAATTAATTGAGTAGACGCATGTTGAATGCCCCCTCAGATTATTTTTGTTGCCCAAGAGGACAACTTGGCCGGGAAATGGTATAGCTGACCTAAGGAGCATCGTTACTCAAGTTAATAAGTTTGTTTGCTACACAAGTACACCGCCGTGCACTTTTTCGAGTGCATTTGCTAAGGTTGAACCCTCATGGCCGCGCGAATCGGTGTACCCATGTGTTTTACTATGTAAAATGGTCACATATTAAATCAGATTTCTTTCTTCTACTGCGCAACATGTAGTACCTTGATTACCTCACTTTAAGACGTTTCTCCTCTACAACACTCCAGGGATGCTCAGCCCCGATACATATTACCTACCGATGCAATTTCTAGTGACATTGGGTCAAACATCATTATCTTTCCTTGCCTCAAACCGGCAGTCTTTACTAACTGAAGAAGTCCTTCTTTAACAAGACTATTTTGACTTCAAAGGAGCGGTAGGGAAAGTTGAATGGTATAGGTAGAAATTTAGCACATTTACACGCAGTCACACAACCGTTATACGCCCGGACAAGCACTGAACGGCCGTTTCATACTTTCGAGGATCGTCAGCCGTGCGCACGCCAGCTGAAAACTGCAGGGCCCGTACCCGCAACTTGACAGTCTGTGATTGAAACCACTCAGCTACGGGGGACTTTAACGATCGTCATGACTAAGTTACTATCGACGATATAACGCCACTCACTTGGTCTGGAGTTGATGAGTACAACGCTCCCTACTACTCCTTTGTAAGCAATATGCAGACTGAACTGCCTGTAGTGCCATAAGTCAATTGGTGGCTTAAGTTTGGCAAGTTCGTCGTTTGTCCTCTCCACAGTAGTAACGTGCAAGTCAGTGAATAGTGAGCAAGGCTATACAATATCTACTAACTTAGTCACAGCACTCATTACCGTCCACCATCCCCGTATCTCAGTGGCCTCGACTGGGGACAGTAGAGTTGCGGGTTCCAGCCCCACAAGGGTCAGATTTAATGCGCACTGCTGATGACTCCCACAATGATGGAACAACCGTTCGGTGCTTTTCCGAGCGTCTAGATGGGATGAATTTCTATCTACACTATTTTAACATCATCGTCCGGCTTATCGCAAGAAACACTTTGAAATTAGATACGGTTACAGAGGTTATTTCCACAGCCATATCTACTGCCTTCATTACACCCAGTAAGCAAGGGACGCTTTTGCAATTAAAATCTGCTCAAAACATTAAAACATCAAAACGTCAGTTTTGGTAGGTGCTTTTAACCCGTGAATTTTGTTTAACATGCAGTCAAGGTTTTTCTGACCGACCGTGCGCTTACTGTACGTATGGTGCTCACGCAAATCCAACCACACATATTGGCCTGTATGACATCATTTCATTCTCATGACGGTTGTATTGAGTCGGATAACTTACGAGAGTTATTGGCAGTGCAGGCCTATCTCGGTACAGACAACTGGTCAGTTGCAAGCACAGAAGCAAAGTGCACCGCCAATGTGGACACATGCACAGTACTGGAGGTTAGGGTCTGTCCTTCCGCGCCCGTTATCACTGGTAAGTTACCTGCTGCCTTCAGGTCCCGCGTCAAGTAATCAAAGATTCTCTTCGAGCAGTTGCTAGCTGCTCTTCAAAAGGCCGGCGCTTACTCCTGTTCGTATGGTTTTAATATTTGTTGCTTTTTACAAAACCTGTAGACGTTCATTTAGCCGGAGATAAAACATTTGTCCCACAGTCTGCGCCGCTTCCGGGCCAGTTTACCATATTCCTTGTCAAACCAATGTGTCCCGACCGGTCCTACTTTCCAACACTTGAGTTGCACAAACCGGTTAGATAGTGTTTGGTCCATTTTTAAAAATCGTTCATCAAGCTTCAACTGATGCTGATTGCAGCACAGACTAATCCACTTGGTTCGCGACTCGAGTCAGGCTGTCGAAACCCGTCTTCCTGTAGTAGAAAGCTGACTACTTTACGTTGGACTGCTGCACGCATAGCTCCACGTTGGCAATAAGAACTAAATAGTCACTTGCTGCCAGAAGCTCTAGTATCTGAATGGCTTACACGTGTTGTTCGCGGCTTGCTAAAGACAAGTCTAAGCCAAATAGAGTTGAACGCCGTGTTATGCGCGTCCGTTGGCAGTTGTGTTGTGGTGCCCAACTTTCAACTACCATTTCAGCAAAGTTTGCCGCAGCCACACAATATCTGGTGAAATCTTGAACTTCAGGCTAGCGTATTCGAGGGCAATTGAAGTCGCCCATGCATAGAAAATGAGGGCGATTCATGTGGTCCCGGTGACGCAGCAGTCATTCCAAACAAAATGGTTAAAATGCACTCATTGTAATGATGTTATTCATAGAGAGATATGGAATGTCATTCAACAAAGTCTTCCTATCATGCAACAACTTAAAGCCATAGGCACGTGTACAAACTAGCTACAAAGATGACGCCGCACAGTGCTAAAGCCGCTACATTATTGGTCTGAATCAGTCAATGGCACGAGAAGCAGTGTACTTACCTTACGCTGATAGTTATCTATACAACTTAGGCACTGCCTCTTCGTTATTGACCACTCGTGGCTGCGTCGACACATGACCCGACCGGCTGCGTTGAGGCACACAAGGCCGCATGTGCTGTAGCATCATGTGCTTAACCTCCATGACCGACTTGTCCCGGTGCTTGTCGCTTTCGCAACCAGCCTTCTTCCTCCTGATACGACAGTAGGTCTTGTGCACTTGATGTGATCGCTTCATTGGCCTTGATCCACAGCCAGTTACTTCTAACACCCAACTTCAAAACTGGTTCGTGATAACTTCTCCTGGATTATGTCATTGTACCACAGCTTCGGTATGCAAACAGTCCGCGTCCTCGCACGCAATTGGACTTACAAGTGCCGCTTCGGTATCTCCGTTGAAACAAGCAGCGCAGTCACGTCGCCCGCTAGTCTGCCTCACTCGAGCTTTCTAACCACATCACTGAAGTGTGCAACCGACCGAAGTGATTTAAGTACACAACACAGCTAGCTCACTGTGGTAGGTCACAAAACTACTCTGAGTACCAGGGAGCAAGTAGATGCGAATCCAAAATGGCTCAAGATGAAGGATGCTGTGTGTCTGGAGAATGCAACCGATTAGTTAAATT